CTCCTCTGGAGATGAGAGCACATTCTTTACTCCCCTCCCACCATTCCAGTCCATCACACAGGCACCATGACAGAGAAGGCCTGCTTGCTGGTCCCATCAGGTGCTCTTGTCAATGGGACCTGAATCATGCCAATTCTGTCAGAAAGTGTAGGATGGGCAGAAAGTACTAGATATAGGCAGCCCCTCAAATAACCAATCCTATGTGATAAAAGGTTTTATAGGTGATTACCTGCACCTTGAATCAAAAACCACACAGCCTACCCTTCCGCCATATCTCCCTCTCCTTGTCACAACTTTGATGGAACTGTCCCCCAGGCTATGATAACTAGTTATATATACAAGTACTGTCACACACACACCCAACCATGGTAACCTCCCCAGCTTCTCCTGCTCATGGCACTCAGCAGTTTGAGAGTAAACCATTACCATGGGATAGCAATGACCCGTACCCTTCCAAACCAATCACTCCCACCTTCCTTCCACACCCCACCCATTCATCCAAAATACAGTCAAGAGTAGGCCACTCCACCCCAAATCATACCATCCATCAGTAGCAGGAAGATGGAGGAGAAGCTAGGTAGCAGCAATATTGTATTCAGTGTGGTATTCAGTGGCCTAAATAACATAAAGATGGCAAAAAGCCAGGGTGGCTGTGGGGCTTGGCTTGGTAACAACAAGTTCCTCTACCCAACCCCACTCCTGGTTTTCCCTCTACCTCCATGTATCAAGGCCCTAATAGATGGTTATCATTCTTGCTTGAAATAATGCCTTCCCTACGGAGAAAGATCCAGGGCTGGTCTACAGCTGATTATTTCTTTATAAATTTAAAACAGAACTTGTTAAGACACTCTTTGGTTATCATTAGGTGCCAGTGATGCTTCTAAAATTCAAAGTCTTCATTCTGCTACTCATTAGTATGTAGACTAATGAATGCTATTGTGTGCATTCACAGATCAACATTCATGAAGTGGATTAGAATTACATCTTCGGCACATATAATTATGAGATGATCTAAATGCTAGAATGGGGATCAGTGATTTAATCTAACTCCTATGATCATAGCTGACCCTGAATAAAGAAGATGCTCAAAATACAGATATGTATTCCTTTAGGGATCATAAAAGCAATCTGACCTGATATTGTTAAATCAGTTGGACCTACTCATTCTAAATGATGTTATGGAAAACAATCCTCTAGGAGAGTTTACACTCTGGTCTGGATACAAATGGTTGATCGTTGATTATGTTTTGATTTCGTGTAGCCTGGCTAATCATGTTACATGCTGCCAACTGAGCCTCACTCTGATAGTCACAATTTTCCATTGATTCTTGTAGTGTCAGTTTCCAAAAGCCCACTTAAAAGTGGAGATTCTTTACAAGGCTAAAGATTCTTGGACCTGCTCAGACTATTCAGGTATGTGGAATTATCACAGAATACACCCAAATACTGGAAAGTATTTTTACAGGGTACATGTTAATACACTGCCATCTGCTTTGTTAGATGGTAGCTTTAATAGTACTCTTTTTAATGACTGCATTTGCCCTTGTAGCTCTGGAATTGTTGAAAAGATTAGACACATTCTCCTATATTGCATCTTTTATAGAAACAAAATGACTTAATTTTACCTCTCTCTTCCTATCAGATAGGTAGCTGACTCTGTGTGATAGTTAGCAAAGTCTGAATTTATATACCAACATATCACAACTTTGACAGTTCACAATTGTATAACACAAAAACAAAATGTGTATAGCAAATTAAAATTAAATTAAAATCACGTAACAAAACTCTGACAATGTCACAATGCATCCCAAAGCCTATTGTGGGTTTTTAACATGCTGCAATTATTCATTGATAAGGTACTTGTAATCTGTCCCACATGTAACCTGCATGTACATAAGCAACTTATCTTTCCTTTCTCCCTCACCTTTCCCCACTCCCACCCCAACTTAAACCCTACATTAGCCTAGCAATTCTATACATTTGATGAAGTGAGCTGCAACTTCTATGCCTTTTAACAAAAGTTAGTTAGTTAGAAAAGATGCCACTGGACTGATTTTTTTATTTATAGTGATGTATCATCTTTACATTATAAATAGGAAAATGAGGAGACGGGGAGAGATGGGAGGGTAAAAGTGACAACCATATTGTTAAACGTCAGTCCTTAAATTGTGAATATAGTAAAAAAGAAATGCATCACAGAAACTCATAACAAGCTAAAGGATCAGTGGACAAAAGCTACCTTTAAATAAAATATTTAACTGAATAGCAGCAAAATTCATTTTCAGTATTTCAGAACCAGCCTTCCCACAAATTTACATAAGAACTGAATCCACAACATCCAAGATATAGTAAAATGGCAACTATTCTTTACACTATAACAAAGAAGAGGAATCTATGGCTTTCCAGATGTTGTTGATCTCCAATATCCAGAAGCCCAAGACCACCTGGCCAATGGTAAAGGAATGCTAGGAGTTATAGTTTAGCAACATTTGGAAACCCACAAGCTGTTTTCAGACCAACTGGAATAAGTGGGAGTTTTGAAAGCCATGATTCACCTACATCTTCTGTGAATCTCAAGTCAATACGGTATGACCAAGTCGGGATCCAAATAATTATAACCAATTTCAAAGCGTTAATGTTCAGCATGAACACTGTTTTCATTTTTGTTCTATAAATTACCTTCCACACAAAGTTGTTTGTTTTATTTATTACATTATTTACCTTAGAAAGGTAAATTTTAAAAATCCATTCAGTACACTAGTAATGGTGGATTTCTACAGAAAAACCCATTGCAACAGTAAGGCATGTTTTGAAATACTAAATATTTCAGCTGTCAGATATGCCTTTACTCTTGATTGTGACTGATGATTTTAACACTGCAGTTGTTATTGGGGAATACAGCCTTTATTGCCAATTGAAAGAATTATTCTGTGTGTTCTCCTAAGCTGACAGCTCAATTTTGCAAGTCTTGGCATAGTAAATTTTTTGTTCATGGAGCACAGAGGACTTGGTAAGTCAAAATAATATATTTTGCTTGCAAACAAATTTACTCTATAATTATTGTGCAACCCCTCCCCCCCAAAAAAAATCTAGAAAGAGAACTAGATAGGAAAAAAATCTTATGAAATCTACTAAATTTGATAAATATTGCTATTCATAAAAGCTGTTCAAATATATATTGCTATAGTTCTAGAAGAAGCTTAGGCTTGGAAGTGATAAAATTACTATAAGGTTTCCACACATTTGGAGGTAACCACTAAGGATATTTTTTGTGGTCCCAATAGTAAGAAGTAACTTCTGCTTGATACATCAAAATAACAACAGCAAACAGCAAAAGTTTTGACTCCTGGATTCTACTCTCTGTACTTGCAAAGATACAGTGTTCATAAACATACAGACTGATCATGTTTAATATGAGTTGACAAAAGCTAATGAGAATTAAAAGCAGTTTTTAATTTGATGTATTAATTCTGCCTTTCAAGATTTTTGTTAACCATTGTTATTTCTAGGGGTGGAAATAATTTTTTGTGCATTTCAAATTATATAGATAACAATTGAATGAGGCAAGCAATACCACTTTTGCTGGTTCAGATATAATCCACCTGTCATTTGCAAGGTCTTAATTTTCTGCCAGTCAGAATTAACTCTTAGTCTGGTTTCACCAAAACAAAACAAAGAAAAACAACAAAAACACAAAATCACAGTGTTGTCTAATCATGGCTGAGCCCTAGCTTTGGTACTGAGAATATTATGTACTGAGGATCATACCAATACACAACACATCAAGTTATTACATCAAAGATCTTTGTCTTGCAGACTGGAAACCACAAAGAAAACCCAAAATATCATACTTTTATACTTTTATTTAACACTAAACTGAAATTAATATCCATGCAGTTTGGGTATGAAACCTGCATAGATATTTTCACCAAGAAAGAAAAATGACATTTTATGTTTTATTCAATGTACTCGCTGCACAGCTACATAGATAACCAGAAAATTAATGTACAGTTTTAACGCAACTCATACTTTCCCTGCTACTCTACAAAATGCTTGCTCCAACAAAGCAGTGACAGACTTACGTAACTCTCCTACTTTCAAGATATCACACAGCATCTTTGTTAATTCAATGCTACTCCGACCAAATGGACATTCATGCTTATCTTCTCGGCTGCTATTTTCCAATACAATCTGAAATAGAAAAAAAAATATTTAAGGCAGGTATGTTCCTATCCTATCCTATTTTAAGCTATCCCAATTCCAAAGAATTCTGAGCAGCCTATGACATCAACAAAAAGAAAACCAAAAACATAATAGATAGATAGATAGATCAGAACTATATCAACAACAGGAAGATCAAGCCCAAAGTAAGGTCAAACTAGTTCTCAAGTCCTGCCTGTGAATGCTTCCTTAGATCCTGCATTCTTAGAACCTAAAACTGGAAAGATTCTGCCCCAGACTCTGAAAAGCATATTTTTTAAGCAAGGTGGTCCCACTTCGATCATCACTATTCCTAACATTACCTTCTAGAAGAATCCAATAATGCATATAAAAGCATTGGTCTTTTAATCTGGATGGATACAGCAGTAGATGATAACCAAGGGCATTTTCAGATGGATATTGGCTAGATCAAAAACTTTGGCAGCTGTCCAAATCAGTATTAAGGAAAGTTGCCTCTGGTCTTTGGCACAGGATTGCTAGTTTGTGAAACCAATCACTTGAGTTAGAGCAGTATTCCCTCACCACCTGTCCTGTTCCATGTGATAGCAGAACATATGGATTAACCAACAATGGAATGCAAACATCCTGTAGCGTAACAGTTTATCTGTCCAGCATTTATTGTGAAACCTCAATCTGCTGCAGAGACTATTTCAGTATGTTCACTTTCAGTTCATGTTGGGTCTTCCAGTCCTTACAGGGCTATTTCCCTGTAAGATTTGTGTCCCAGAATCCAGGCAATACTCCCTTATAGTTATACAACACTAGAGAAGATAACTACTGTTATTTTTCAGGGATTTTAGACAATAGTCTCCTAAGGAACCTGGGATTTTGAAAACTACCACCCTAATATTTTGAAAGGGTATATAGCCTAAGATGAATTATTTTAAAATGTATTTTTAGAATATACAAAATACAATTTTAATACAGAAATTAAGGATCAAACCTACTTCTGCAGTATATGTTAATAAATTGTTTTTTTAAGAACTGCAGTGATTATATTTGCATGGGGTACCGTCAGAGCTATTAGTTATCCTTGGAGATAAAATCTTATACTGAAAAGGAAAGTTTATTATATAGGTTGTGTGAAAATTTATCTTATGCACAAATTGTACTTTCAATATAGGTGAGAAACAACTCATTTTCACTTGACAGAAATCTTATTACAGCTGAACAAGAACAGATATTTGCTTGTGTCAGCTTTGGACCAAAATCACACTACAATCATACAATAAATAAACAAAGTAAATAAATAAATGACAACGTACAAAACCCAGGACCTAATATAATTTTTTACCAGAAGTTGGACTTTAATTGAAACCTGAAAATCCTCATTTTTATTTTAAAAATATTAAGTTTAATAACTCTGAAGAAAAAAAAATGCTGCCATGTCCTCCTAAAAATGTAAAGCGGAGACCTGACATTAGGATTTTGATACAGAGAATTCACACCTGGCTTCCCATCAAAAGAGTACTTTGAAATACTCCAAAATCCCTGAAAAAACATTTAAAAATATTTTACAATATGCTATTTCTTATTGATGTGCTTTACCAGCAAATAGCCTGGTTTGAATTATCATAGGAAAAGGTGGTCTCTGGACTGTGCCTGTATTCCAAGTGGAGGGGCATAGATCTCAAATATAATTTCTATACCTTTGAAGTATAACAAGGAAGTTAATAACAAATGCTCCAAGGATAAAAGGGATATGCAATTTACTTCCACCCTGGGCTAATTACGATTGCTATTCCTCCTGTAGGATGCCCATCTCACTTTCTCTGAGATGTCTTGCATTAGTTGATGTGATAACCATCTAGCTCTATATTAAACAAGGCCCAAGTTTCTTGCAAGAAAAGAATATCAAAGTTGGACTGATAACTTGAGAAACTGATGATCATCCCATCCTATCCCATCCCATCCCGCTATATTCCATTAAATGACGAAATGCGAGTCTATATGATTTGAGAGTCAGTTTTTTCAGTGGGATTAGGTGATTCCTTTGGAGCTAATAATACTGTTTTATGAGAAGGGACCTTTCCTCTTGTTTCTCTTGAGCCAAAAGGACAGGCGTTTGGCTGTACTCAGATTTACAGAACTTTGTGGTTACAAGATCTGTGGGTAGTTTAACTCTCCAGGAAGGGAGTATGTACTTGAAATTGGATTATGCCCCACTGATGAATCCCCCTGCCTTCTTCTTCTAAAGGCCTTTAAGTGTGGTCAACAATGACAACTGTTATAGTTATGTTGGGCCAAGCTATTTTGTCTCAAGATCCATTGATAAAGGTGGGCTATAAATATTTTGATAATCAATTAAACCTCCAAACATATTTGAGCAAAAATGATAGGGAGAAGGATGTGCAGGTACAACTGGGACTGGAATTTCCATTTCTAAGCAATGTGATTGTAAAGTGAGATGTCACATCACTTAGCGACTACAACCCCGCACTCCTGGTTGCTGTTGTTAACCAAGAATCATGGGTCATTAAGAGAGTACCCACGCCAAGCCAAGCCATTCTGGGCTTGGCCCCTCCCAG